AGATGGCCTGCATTCAAATACCCCTTTCAGTAGTCTGCAGACTAATGGGTGGCTTCCAAAACTATTGTGCCCAGTTGTCTGTATGCAGGTAGACAAGGCGCTCCTTGCAGTGTTAACTGCACTATATCCCATGCCTGAGTCATATAACTSTGCAAGGAAATTTACCCCATCCTCTACAGATGCTGAAAATGGATCAATTTTCCTTTTATGACAGTACTCTTTCCATCGATCAATGTATGGACTGTACTGCTTTTTAGTGCCATTTCGCCATGATGACATGACCAATGAGGTAGCTTTTTCTGATAGTCCTTGACCTTTGAAATGTTCCCTGATACATGACATAGGAGCAACACCAGTTTTCCCTGTAGTGGGTGGGTTATAGTTGGTTGACTGGGTTGGAAGAGCATCCCTATTTTCCTGGGAAGTTCCAGTRGGTCTTGAATTAGCATTCTCATAACAGTTGGCCACCAAGGTTGAGTTGGCCACTTGGGAATCAATATTAGACCTGTTGCCTTCTCTTCCTGAATTTTCTGAAGAACAGTTGCCATAAGGCTGAAAGGAGGGAAAGCATAAAATAAATAGGACTGCCATGATAAGCTAAAAGCATCTATTGCAAATGCTTCCGGATCAGGTTGGTAAGCTACAAACGGTTTTAGTTTGTAATTTAAACGCGAAGCAAAAAGATCAATGGTGGGCTTCACATTCAATTTATTTAATGCATCCTTGAATATCTTTGGGTCTAATGCCCATTCAGTCCCATTATTGACATTTCTAGAGTGCCAGTCAGCCATTACATTCATCTTTCCTGGGATGTGAGCAGTAGACAGCCACACATTGTTCTCAACACACCAGTCCCAAATACAGCGGGCTAAGTTATTACATGCCTTTGAATGACTAGTGCCCATGTGGGCTAATGTTGTTACAGCTGTCATGTTATCGATCATAACTCTAACGTGTTTGCCCATAATATGGTCCCGAAATGCTTTCAGGGCAAAGAATACTGCTAGCATTTCTAGTCCGTTTATATGATAGGAGGCTTCGGATGGACCCCATCCGCCCTTAGCTGATAGAGTGCCCATGACTGCCCCCCATCCTAGCATGGATGCATCAGTATGAATAACAATATCTGGCTCTCCATGCTGAACAATATTGTATGCACTACTCACAGAGTCTCGCCACCACCTTATATCTGCTAAGGCAGCTTCCGACAATGTCATGGAAATATCAAATTTTCCTTTTGCATGCTTCAAAGCATCAGTTT